TTGAGTTCTTTCAAAACCGTGAATGGTTTTTGTGTTTGGTACTCCACAATTTCGATTTACCAAGCAGGAGAAAACTTTTCTTGAGAAAGGGGATAAGAGGACAGTGCAAGTACTGCACTTAACTAAAATATGAAAATGTGTTTTTGTGTGGGGTTTCTATAATTTGTACAGAGTCTTACGGTGTTTTTTTCCACAAGGTTGGGGGGAGGCGGTAGGATTGTCCCATGTGTATTCCCACTAAAGAACTTTACAAGGCTCTGTGCAGTCCTACAAAGTTGCAGACTGTTTGTCTTTCTTTCCTCTGATTCAGAGGAAGAAATACGATCTTGTTTTTCGTAAGCTCTCCACCCTTGGTCATGCTTGCGTTCGACCTTTTCCTCCCTTTGTGATTTGCCGAAATCGAAAACTGATATCTCTGTATTGAAAGTATGTGTGTTTACAGTGGTTTAAGGGCGAGATATCAAATTATTGCTGCCGATACAATGTCTCAGATACTTTAGCCCGAAGTTATACAAAAGAGATATTGCATTCTTTAATTCTATGGAGTTGTCATTGGCATAACACAAATCCAAGAGGTCTTCTTAGGCGAAGTTATAATTAAGCGAGCTTGCTCCTTCGGGTCAAACAATGCTAGCAATTGGGGTATATTATGCAAACTCAACGCGGTTGACTGTAGGATATCACGTCGCTTAAATTGCTTGCTGACAACTCTGACGTGGAACCCGAAACGCCATTACGAATCATCTACGCCATAACAAGACGTAATGTTGGCAAAATCTGAATTCCCGCGTGGATGGACGTTGATTGCGTGTTGGGTAAGGCTTTCGTGCGTTGCAAAGCCAGCGAGAGTTTGGCCTGGCGGCGAGAGAGCCTCCTCCTATTCGATGGGATTTAATCGTAGTGGCATGTTTCTCCATATAGGACAGAGGGAGTTTTTGTCAGGGGATATTGCAGTACGGCAGCGGTCCTGCGTAATGAAGATTAGAGACGAGATTACGCTGCGGGATGGGGTCTAGATGACAGGGGATTGTGGTCATTATGGTTGAGTTATGAATCCATTACAATCTGAGCCATGGCTTGATGCTCTGGTAATCTTTCTAGACGTTGCGTCTCGTCTAAGGAACCACCATGGGATTTAACTGGGAAGGTATCTTGAGGTATAAGAAGTATACTCGGCTTCGGTTGACATCCCTCACCGACGTCATATATCGTGGTATGACATGTATTATCTATTTGAAACTAAAGATGGACATTTTTTGCGTCACACAAGATCATTTTGTGCATCAATAAATCATGACTAAAAATGCTCGTGATTTGGACTTCCTTTATCCTCTGAGGAAAAGATGTAAGAAATATCGATATTGCGAATAATTTGTTTTTAAATATCAACAGAAACGTCGCCTGGTGTTTTTACTAGGCCTAAGTCTTATTAACGGCATATGTTTTCATTTGTTTCTGGTGCACTTTGTTGGATTCCAATAATAAGACCATCACTTGAAATCCAAAGACGAATTTCCAAAACTTAACCCGTTGAAATTTTCAGCCTAATGGATGAGAAAACAGTCAAAAACTGTGCACAGCCTTTTGATCACGAAACACGATTTTGTCAACGGCACTCCTAAGTTTATGAAAAAAAACCAAATCAGTCAATTCATTGATCGTTGGAAAAACAAATCTTGATTTTTTTATTATTAATGACAGTAAGCAGTTGGAAATAACTCGAAGGGGCGTTTAGTACCAGTACGTTTACGATCTTTACTCCAAGTAAGCTTTTTGAGCATGTAAACAAGGCATGACGAATTTTCAAGTGGAGGGAATTTCATTAGCTTTGAGCAAGAGGGTAGGCCCTAGGCCTAAGATTTAAACGTTTTTTCTTCAAGTATAGGCATATCGAGCAATAAACTAGAAAGCCCTCAGAGAGCGCAAACCTCCGCCAAGCCTAAACACTTCCCCGCCATATTGTCAGTACACCCAAAGGAAATACTCGCATAAATGGTGAAGAATCCTTTAAAAAATCCCGGATCCGGACCCAGATCCGGATCACTCTCAAAACATTTTCGATTTATACTTGTACCAAGGACCCCCCTAAATTTCTTTTCCTGCAAATCCGTCCATAACTTTTTGAGTTATCTTGTGAACAGAAAAACCAACTAACCAACCAGCAAACTAACCAAATCCGATGTAAACATAACCTCTTTGGCGGAGGTAATTACGTTGGCACGTTTTGGTGTCCCAATTCTTCATTCGCTTGAACAGCTTTGCTTCTGCGATATGAAGAGTCACGTTGGCGCAGTGGTTACTTTTCCTCACCTTCCACCGCTGTGGCCCGGGTTCGATTCCTGCCCCGGTCCACATGTGGATTTGTTTTCAGCCCCTAGGTCTGATTCCGTGGGTTTCCCCCAGAAAATTCGTCTGGGGTTCAGTTCCTCCCACCTCTAAGACTGCAATTACTTCTCACCGTCTTATTCTTACAGGTTTCTTCTGGCGTTCGAGCCACAGTGCTCTAGGGCACTTTTGAGGAATCCTGTTGAGGTGCGGGTTCGATTCCTGCCCTGGTCCTCATTAGTATTGGGTTTTCAGCTCCTACTTGATTCCGTGGGTAACCCCAAGAATATTCTTAAGTGGTTTTCCTACCACCTCTAAAACTGTAATTTCGTCTCATTGTCTTCTCTCTACTGGTTTCCTCTGGCATTCAAGCTACAGTACCTAGGGCGCTTTTGAGGAATCCTTGGTTTCATTACCAGAAAGATATTACTTTTGAAAAATAAATAAATCAGCGTGGTGACTTTCCATTAGCAGCTATTTGGCAGTTCACTTCATCGTGGAAAATGTAAAAATGCCTATGACGTCACATGACGTCACACCTTCATGCCGGACATTCAAATATTAATTTAAATATTTAAATATTAATCAGCAACAACAAAACATTATTTTGTTTGTTAAAAAAGGGGATAATTTGCACATGTTGGCCCAACGGTAACGAATTCGAATGAAACCTGTTAACTTCAATAATCAACTGAATGTAAAATATTCATAATATAGGCGCATTATTGACCAAAAGTATCTAATCGAGCTTTGTGCACTGTTTTTATTCATATTTGCCTATCCCAAGGCTAAAAACCAGTATGTTGTTTGTGGCTTTTTTTTCTGCGTAGCCCATCCATATTATTTCTTTTAGTGCAAGAATCATTCAAATCACTCCTGTAATTTTCAAGTTACGAAATTTTAAACACAAACACCTTTTTAAAGTTCTGTCCACGGATCACAAAAAAGTGAGTGTTCTTTCAGCAAAACGATAACAATTCACATACATCCCTATGCCATGGGTAACACAATTTCAAAATCGCAAGTAATATCTTAAGCCCCTGTCACACCTTTGCGTATCCTAATTCCTTATGAGTTCCTTATCAAAAATTATCAATACGCAGCCGTACGCTCAATTAACGTCGAAATGTTTTGATCACTTTGACTTATGTGCGACGCACATCTAGCGTACAAGTAACGAATTCAGCGCATCCATTGCGTATGAGATGCGTATGAGTTCCGTATGCAGTGCACAACATTATTTTTCGGGCTGCGAATAGGTCAGTATGCAGTGCGCATGCCGAGCGTATTCCGGACGCACCCGACTTATGCCGACCGCATGCTTGACGCACTTCTGAGCGTATTCCCGCCGCATTTCCGCCGCTCGCCGTCCAGCGCGCGTTGCATCTGCAAGTACGCTATGTATACGTCCAATACAGGCGGCTCATATGCTGGCGGGGTGCGTCACGAACACATAGCGTACTCGTAACGCACTCGACCGATGCGGGACCGATGCGCTGCGTATTTATAACTTATGACCTGCGTAACAGCGTACGCAGCGTAGTTTTGTGCATGCCCAAAACTATCCTGCGTACTGGGCCGTACCATGCGTATATCTGCGTACATAAAACCTACACAAAACGATAGAGATGCATATGAGGTGCGTATTGTGCGTACGACTGCGTATGAAAAAAATGTCAATGCGCAACTCATAAGGAATTAGGATACGCAGAAGTGTGACAGGGCCCTTTTAACGCTGCCTTCAAATTGGTACAATCTTTCTACTCTTTAATTTTTTTCTTAAAAAAAAAGGTAATCCTAATTTGATCATTAAAACTCCAACTAAAAGTTTTGAAATGACAGCATAGCACAGTGAGACGTTAAATTAAACATGTCAGGCACGATTGCGAACGTTCTTCATAAATATTTAGCATCACTTAATCGAACAAAACCGCGTCATTATGCGAAAAGAGCCGAACGCTCTAGCGAAGATATCCCTGAGGAAAACGTACTAGACTGCATTAACCTGTGAATACTTCGAAAATCAGTGAATTTTGAGTCTTTCTGTTCGTGTTTACGAAAAAACCCGGAATTCCTTGGATTTTTTTCGCGAACTAAACGTATTCACACGGATTAGGCCTCGAGTTCCGTTTCTTGACACTTCATGGTGTTTGAATAATGTCTTCTGTTTGTAATTAGTTTTTATTTACAGGGCCATGTTGAAAAACCACTTTTACGGAATAATGTTACCCTGAATATATATCTTTGAAATAACTAAATAAGTGGTACATCTCTAGATAAAACAACCGATCGAAAAGGTTATGAATTTTAAAAGGCCATACCCAAAGGAGAATTTGTGTTGTATTTGTTTAGGCTTTTTCAAGGATTACCAATCGAAAGAGAATAATTCTGTAGACTTGATCAGATAAGAGCAATGTCAATGAACTCAAATGGTTGAAGTCTGTGGCCTGGCCCTACACGCCTGAATCAATGCATGACGTAGTTAAATCGAAACATGACTCTTGGAAAGTAGCTTGGAAATGTTTGCCAATCTAATAAACCAAACATTTGCTCTGCGTGTAGGCCTACTGATTGCAAGCAAAACAGTTGACACCTGTGCCTTACTGCAATCAGTTTAACAAGTGTACAAAAATATAAATTGCAGTGGGATCCGCACTCAGCACAGATTTACTTACCTAACTCGTTGGAGACCTCTTTGGCTACTTCAGCATTCTCCACAATGTCTGCCAAGTCTGCTCGCCCAGACGCCCATGCGACTGTCAGGAGAAGTGTCACCAGTAAACCTCGGTGGTACCGTACAGCTGTCATGATTGTGATGCGGTGCTGGGCAGCCTTCCCACCCCGTGCAGATCGCAGCGATTCCCCCGCTAAGTTGGTCGAGCTGCGCGTGCGGTATCAATCTCTGTAGAAGTGGCGTTATCGAGGTCCACTGGCTCTTCTCCACACCGTCCTGTATCAAATGGTGTCCACTCACGCGACTGCAAATGAAACGGGTACTGCAGTTACAACTGCGGTCTCATATCTCGAAATATCATTAGGTAATATAACAAGTAACAGATATGGTCCGAGCGTTGGCTTGGTCTATGCGTCGCTAATGCTGCAAGCGTGAAGCTTTATAACTCCCTTGTAGCACAGTGTATCAATGTAAGGACGCTTCTGATTGGTTGACGGTTGGCGCTTTCTGATTATGTTGTATCAGACCTCATTCGCACACTGAAGTCCAAGGTTTTGGCGCGCAGAAATATTGCCCACTGCCTCCGTGCCACCCACAATTAATTGTGCAGTCACACTGCCCAGCATTTCAAAGCGAACTGCGGTGACGTCACCTTCAACACAAGTAGTGCATGTGGTGGGTCACGTGACTAACTGACGTCATTGACCACCGTCACTCATTAGCGCTAGGTGTTTTTTTTCTTCTGAAGGTAAATCTTAAAGAAAAAAGTCTCGAATAGATACGACAATATGAAAATAATACCATCGTAACAACTACGTGACCACGAACACTGTTTTGTCAGGTTCCATATTCACTGAACACCAGATACTGACGGGAGCACAAATCCTTTGAAAAAAGCTTCTTTAGAAATTAACTGAAAAGACACATAATGACCATTAGCCTACTTTGACTGTATGTAAGTGATTTATGGGGCCTATATATGTTGGGCGGAATGGCAAACTGTAAAAATGACCTAGTTGTAGATTTGACTAGAAACCAAACTAACTTGCACCCGGCTGACTGTGGTCAGCCTGGTTCGAGTTTGACTGTTTTCCGTAGTCAAATTTAGTTTTTTTTTTAGAGTGTACAAATTTTATCCGCACAATAATATTCTAATGCAATTGCATTATTATGGAGATCTCCTGATTTTAAACAATCCAGTGTTAACTTTGTTATCAAGTAAAATCGTGGGGATAAAGTTGTATCAATTGACACCATGATGTTTAAACCACGACCCTTTAAAAACATACACAACAATATGTCAAAAATGCACAGTATTTCCGATATCAGTCGGTTCATTTATTATATGATTTTCCAAATGATGTTGCTAGATGTGTCTTCAGGCAATCACAGTTCACTAGACTTTTAAGTTTGAACCATTCCTGTACTTCTTATACCGCCCCAAACTGCCCCGGTACTCTTTGGTTTTATGGATCATCAAGGAGTAAACACATTGAAGAAATGTACATTCAAGCGCTCTTGTTTTACTATACTCCCGAGGACAATGTGTTGTGTTTTGCTTTGTCCCTGTAATATAGCACTCTCCCATGGACTAAGCACACAAACCTACCACAGAGGACCGTTTTGAACAAAAGACCCAACTCCCAAGGACTGAAAGGATCTGTTGTTATCCCTTTGTGTGTTTGTCCTCTGGGGTTATGTAGAACAAGTACACACACGTTTACGTTACACATGTATATGTGTGGACGTTCCTTTGTTTTTGTGTAGTAAAAAAAAACCTGTGAAAAAAAACCTCATTTTACTCACACTGTGAAAACTCTTTCAACCCATTTTTCCCTCTGTGATTCCCTTTAGTGTTTTTCTTCATTTTGCCACGGATAAACCAACCCCTGAATGCCTCTAAACCTGTTTTCCAGAGGAGAAAACCTTGTGTGGACGTGGGCAGGTCCACACAACGTCACTGTTACCTGGTTTATGGGGACCTTTTTTGTTCGGAAGTCCACACAGCGAATATAATGCTTGTATACACGCTGACAACATTTCCCGACTCAAGTTGATCTTGGTATACGATACACCGGAGAACATTCTAAAGTTTACTTTTGCAGTAGGTCTTCATTACAAACATTAATGTGTGAAATGTGGCCCGCGGCGTTTCCGATGGAAAGGAATTTATTGAACATGGTCGAGAATCGACAACATAGGGGCTCGGGCAACATTTTTTGAAGCGCCTAACAACTCTAATAATGGCCAAATTGCCCTTCTCGCGTTGCCGTATTTTCGGAAAACAAATATATAAATTACCCTTAAAAACTGTGGAATTTTTCAATTACTTCGCAGATAGCCCGAGTAGCGGTAGCTCGGCATGCCAAAACAGATTGTAAGCAGGTCCATCAAAGCAATTGGCAGAAATGCTCTAAATGTCTGGGCGATAAAGAAAAGCCAACGAGATGCTATTGATGGTTGTGGACGGATTTATATCGCAGTTTGTCTTTTCCCTTCTTGTCAAATAATAGGAAACGCGTCAGTTAGTTTTCACGCGCCTGGACTTCACGCGTCAACTGCCAAGTTTGGCCAACGAATCAAAAAACTTCCAAACTTGTTATTTCTCTCCAATCGTCGTCGCTTTTTGCGAGTTAACAAGAAATTGTTGGAATTCTTTAATCTTGTTCACCAGTGATTTCTAGTCAACAGCTTGACCCATTTGCTTGAAACGGTGAGACTAATGAACGCGTCAAGGGTGCAGGAAGGTAAGGGGCTGCTATCAGGTGTTCCACGGTGCTGCGTTACTTTTACCAGCATTTTGATATTGGTTGAAGTATGGCTTGTCTAGACGCAATTCTATCCAAACCGTGAGGGGGTTCGGCCGCCCAATCCAACCTTCATATCCACACATCCCCAAAATCCGTCCAATCCGCCACTTTAAAGTTAGCTACATGATGGGCTATACTATGTTATTAGAATTCTGTCATTAGAAAAAAACGGGCAAAAATTTGAGTTTTAAAAGTGTCGAAAATTCACATTCTCCAATAGATATTTCCGTCTCCTGAAAAAAATGACGATTTTAATCCATAGAACAACGCTATGTTTTAACTTATGCAATTTTCTTTGAAATGCCCGATTCACAGCATCTGACCAATTCGAACATCTTTAAGATATGGCGCGATTTTTCCCCCACCAAATTGAGAGCTGGGGGCACCTCGTGTGTAGGTACTAGACGTTTGGTTTCCATTTTCATTTATTCAAAATGTTATTCTTAGTTAACATTAAAGGATGGTCATAACGCGTGGAAGTAACTGACATTGCGGGTTAGTATCTCACCAACACGTCTCCTCAAACCTCTATCGTTTTTCTTGCGAAATGATGTTAGTAGGAAAGATCAATAAAAAGTAGAATGTTACCGTCCAAACAACTTGAAAATACCTTGAAAATGTGCAGGTTTCGCGTAATTAACGCGCGAAGAAACTGCATGGCACAAAATTTAGGTCCACTAAATTGAAGCTGTTTACTTTCGAAAACTTTGTTCAAAATACAAGTGCGTTGATTGTTGTGGGACCCGATTTTTCACATTGAATAGACTTTGTATAATGACGAGGCGTGTGGTCGCACGCGTCATACGCGCATCCGCCAACCACACTTTTTTTCAGGGACACTCTTTTGAATTTTGAAACTCACCAAAAGGGTAGAAAAGAGAATAACGTTGCAATAAAACAGGTGCATATACTACAAAATCACTGGTCTCTCGATGTTTTACCCAATTTTGACGGCTTGTTCGCTTTAATCACGAGTTGGTCATATTGAATTGAAAGCGAAGTAAACTCTTCATTTTGGAACTTGCGAGTAGAAATGAAAATAATGAAATAAAAGTTCATTACAAATAAATACCAGGCTGCTGTGATGAAGAATTCAGTGTGTGATTTAACTATCATGGTTACGCCACATTTAAAAAAACAACTCCAATCACAAAACAGTCTGGCGCCATCCCATTCAATAGTTTACAATTTACAAAATAGGTCTAGGGAACAATGAAATGAAAGTTTATTGCAAATAAATACCAGTCTTCTATCTGCTGTGATGAATAATTCAATTTGTGATTGAACTATAATGTTTTTAAGCCACATTAAAAAAAACCTTCCAATCACAAAATAGTCTGGCACCACCCCATTCAACAGTTTACAATTTACAAAATAGACTCGGGGAACACGATTGAAATTGGCTTAATCGTGAGTAAGGAATATCGTCACTCGCTGGAAGTGCATAAAATACTGCGCTATTCCATACAGTCGGACGAGGTCAGCTTTGTCTCATAATTGGATGACTTAATCCGCTTCTAGAAAATGCGTATAATAAGCAAGGACAAAATAGCTACCTTGCCAGATGCATAACAAACAGGCTAAAGGTTTTCAATATCTCCCCCCCCCCCCGTAATTGTATGGCATAATGCGGATAGTGACCCATACATCTGAAAAATGGCTCGTAAATACGCTAAAAAAGCCCTAAACATTTGAAGATTTTCGGATGAATATACAATATATGTTTTTTGATCGCTTTACTGTCTCATATGAATATAGAGTGGAAAGTTACTTTGTCCGACTGAAACAAAGGCCAAGAGAGTGAGATTCATTCAATTGAATGGATAGAAATTTCATCCAAGTTTCAAATGAATCGATTTACTCCCTAGGTATTTCAATCTAAAATTAGAGCGAGTTTCTCTCTATATCGTGCGGTCCCGATGGTTTCAATCTTCTGAAATTAGAGAGTTAACTCGCAAAAATTGTGCAAGATCGTAAAATAAGACCTGTATAGGGTGAGTAAATAAGAAAGTGACCGAATTAGAAAGAAAAATACAAAAATATGTGGCTCACTCTATTTCATTGAAATAACATAGGGATAAAGTACATGTTATTGACTAGTACGTAACTGTGAAAATGTCACTTAATTTGCATACTTTATTGCCAAATTATGACCATTCTAATAAAAAAGATTACACAATTCAGCTGTCCACTACTGATCATAAATTTTATCGTTCCATGAAATGATGAATATCCATTGAATCTCATGAAACATAAACGTTTTCCCATTTCCATCAATGCACGGAAACTTGCAAAGAAAAACAGACAAAAATCGCCATCAATATTTCAGAAAATAAAAAGAATGCACTTGTTCGCCATATTCAAAACACAAAATCTGACAGTAAAAATATCTTTTCAGTCGTGACTAAAAAAAACTCCACTGATATTTGAAGACATTATGTGTAATCTGTTATTCTCGCTCAGCCCATTGGCATGGACAGCTATAAATATAGGTTCTTTTATTTAAGACATGCATTACTTCTGATAGCATGGATCAATTTCAGAATTTTTTTTCTCAGATGAGTGGGAGAACTCGTCTATGTAATAGACCCTGGCCATGGCGAAGCCGGCCATGGTCCATGATATGTAAGCAGATTCAGTGATTAAAGCTATAGTCCATCATTCATTTTTGCAGCCATCCAAACAGTAGCTGGCGTAATTATTGTTGAAAAACATACTTGGTTGAAAGATAGTAAGGGAACTAAACTCCCTGTGAAATTATTCTTTCTGGCA